GGGGGGGGGTGGAGAGAGAATAAGAAAAAAGAGGAAAACAACTCTTTCTCTTACCCAAGGTATTCTCCAAACCAAACCGGGTGGAGCGGCGCACTGAGAGCGCTCAGGGCGCAGCCGGCGGGGAACGCGGCGAGGCGGCGGCGCCGGTGCTAGCGGGAGCGGCAGGCGCGGAGCTGGGGCCGTGTCCGCCGACCTTCCGCGGGGCCCTCGGCCGTCGCCAGCGGTTGCCTCGGGGCYGTGGTCGACCGGGACGGGTTTCCAGCGGAGCCAGCCGCTGAGAACTGCGGGGAGCTCGAAGCCCCGAGGACGGGCAGAAGAGCCGGCGCCGAGCGGTCCCGACCCCCAGTGCCGAGGTTCTACCGGCTCCGGGTCCGCAGTTGTGCCCACCAGCATCGTCCCCACACCCCATCCCCCGACCCATCGGCTCCGGCGCTCAACTGCCTCGCCCTTAGCGTGCTTTATCYGCTTCTTCAGCACCACCCGAACCGCGACAGCCCCCTTTCCTCCCCACCACCCCAAATCCCGCTGCTCCGTTTCCCCGAGTATTATCGGCTGGCAAAAGGAGCCCTGGCGAAAGCCCTTGATCTCACTCTARGTTTAGCATTGAGATGTGGGGCATGTCACGCCCGCCCCAGTGTCCACAGCCATCGGRGGCTGCGGCTGGGACCTTCCCAGACACAAGCAGCTGGAAAGGAGAGAAGCAGCTCTTTCCTAGGGCTAAGGAAATACGGCCGATCCCGGAGCTGCTGGGCAGCAGCAGCGATCACATGCACCCTCAGGGTAGGGATGAGGTGGGAACTGCTGGCAAGGAGCAGTCAGGGGGAAAAGGAGGAGACCTCAAACAGCTGCGAGGATAGGGCAGTTCYGGGATAGTGGCTGAGTTTTCAACTGTGTATCTCACAATCCAAGGCTTAAGTCTTCTGGACAAGGGGGAAAACTAATACAGCCAGTCCCTCTCTCRTGTCCTGACACACAAATTCGGTCTCTTTTGTCACCCCCGAGAGGGCAAAGAGCRAGCAAACAAACTGCATCAAACAGTAGCTTAAAATTAATTTATTTAACAAATATAGCTATAATATAAATGATAATAAAATTTCAAATATACAGTATATTACATAGTACACAGAGCCCCTTCCAAAGGAGCTGGTGGAGGAACAAAGGCAGGTAACAGACAGCGCTGTTAGACGGGGACGGAAAAGGCTGTTTAACACTTCTGCCTCTTGACCTCGCCTTGCAGAAAGTAATGTCCTGTCTTTCAGTCCCCTTTTTCCATTTCTCTTCCACAGTCCCTTCCCCCATGGCAGAGGGCTCTCCTCAGGTTCCAGCTAGCCCCAGGGAAGCAGGACACGGTTGGGCCATCAGCACCCTGCACCAGGAAGGAGCTGGGGCGATGCCTCACACTTCTGCCAGCTCCCCAGGACTGCTGAGATCAGGACAGTGCTGGGGGTAGAGGCTCTGCATCAGAAGGGGAAGCAGAGAGGTCAAGCAGAGCCAGACTGAAGAAGTCTCTGCCATAGGGTCCATGAGGAAGTCCATAGAGAAGAGCCAAATGAGCAGGGAAGGAGAGTGTGTGGAGCCAGCAGGAGCAGCCAGCCAGCAGCGCTGGGCTGAGCTCAGCTCAGGCTCTATGTGAGGTGGTACATGCTGTATCCCACATGTGCTGTGTACAGTCCCACAGGAGCCACGGGCAGCCCTGCCCGTTGAAAAGGGCTGGAGGCACCGTACAGGGAAGCACCGGCCACGGCCGGGCCGCCCAGTGGGAAGGAGATGCCAAAAGCAGCAGGCGGGAGCATGGGCTTGGCTGCCATCTTCAGCTTCTCCAGCTCGGCCTCCTGGAGCCTCTTGGCCTTGGCGCGGCGGTTCTGGAACCAGATCTTCACCTGCGTCTCGGTGAGGCTGAGCGAGCTGGAGAACTCTGCACGCTCGGCGATGGACAGGTACTGCTTCTGCCGAAACTTCCTCTCGAGGGCCAGCAGCTGCGCCGTGGTGAAGGGCGTCCGAGGCTTCCTGTTTGTCTTGTGCTTGCGCAGGGTGCAGGCGGGGGGACTCAGCCGCCCTGTGCCCGGGAGCAGCCGGGGGAGAGGGGGAAGGAGAGAGAAACCTTAGTTAGCAGTGCCCAAACCCTCAGAGCCCCCAACCCACCACCGCTGAGGTGGAGAAAGGGGGAAATAAGGTCCCACTTGAAGCAAATTGCCCCAAAACTACCAGGACTGCTCGGGGCACACTTAAAATTGCCGTTTCCCATTCCAATAAAGAGAGTTATGCTTCGTATCAGGAAACTCTGACTCCATAGAGAAAAGCCCAGCAAAGGGCAGGAATCAGACACCAGCACACTCTGCACCTCCTGCCTTCTTAGCTACCCCAGCTCATGCTGAGGGCACGCAAATGAAGGGAATGACCATCCAAAAAGAAGAAAAAAAGTCCTGTCCTTTTTATTGGATTACTGGAAAAAAAAAATAAACAAAATGGGCTGGCTTCGCAGTCTCACACCCTCTTCATTAGGCCCCTGGGAACCGGATTAAGCATGTAATTAATTAGGAGGTTTGAATTGACACTCATGCTCTATCTACCACTCTTCACCCAGTCTGCTCCTCTCCTCTTATTTAACATTTCTAAGGGTCTTCAACATCCATCTGTCTCGGGTTTACATAGCAACAGCAATTTTTACTTTGCAATTTAAATAAATTAAACCGCTGCTTTACACAAGTCCTGACAGAAAATCTGCCCTTCTCCAAGGGACAGAGAAAACAGCTCCGTTTGCAACTTTGGTACGGGCAAAGCCCAAACGCTCTGGAGAGCCTCAGACCAAGGTCACCCCTTTCCACGGGATCCAGGGCAGGGAAGGAGCACGACCAGGCCGAGGGCAGGCGGCCCATGCTGCCCAGATCCGGGCACAGCGCAGCCACTGGAAATTATTAAGAGGCTTCTCTGATCACGGCTCTCACCCTGTTATTTGTATTAATTTAGATCACTCTGCATTAAAKCAGGAAAACACCACAGATCGTGGCTCTTCGGATTCGGAGGTGCACCATTTAAGACAGCAGCCGATGGGGCTGAAGCCCGCAAAGCTCCCGCTTTTAGGTCTGTGCGGATCCTTATGGAATTACTTGAGCCTTTTTCTGAGAAAGCCTCAGCGGTGTTGAGTCAAGACTTGCGTAGCTAGTTAGAAACCCAGGTTAAATTAACAGGCTGGCCGTGTTGCTTTTACTCTTCCCTCCCGGTTAACATTTGGCACAAGATCCCACCCTGGCACGGCCGCTCTTCCTGTGCGTTCGCAGCCATCCTCCGGCTTCACACACTCTCGAATCCGTTCAGTATTTTGGACGGGCCCAAGTGGCCCAGACGAGTGCGAACCGCACGGAAAAAAAAAAAAAAAAAAACCAAAAAAAAACAGGAGAGGCAGGCAGGGCCAAAGGGGCAGGAAACTCCCGGCCACCCGCGCAGCCTTGCCCTCGGTCCGCCCGGCCCCACGGGAAGGTCGCAGCCGGCCCGGAGAGCTCCCATCCCGCCCCACTCCCGAACTTTCACTTACTCGGGGGAGGCGGCGAGAACCGTGGCGTTTGCATCCAGGGGCTCCGCTCCTGTTTCTCGGGGCTTTCCGCCTTAACGAGGGTGTCTTCGGGCAGCTTGACCAGTCCCCCGACGGAGAAGTGCCCGCCGAGGGGCAGCGGGGACGGCGGCGCCTCCGCCGACAGCGCGCCCAGGCGGGGGCTGAGGCTGGCGCGGGCGGCCGCCCCAGCGCCCGGCGGGGGCCCGGCGCCCTCGGGTCCGTCCCTGCCTCCCGGCTTCCTGTGGTCGGCCATGAGCGCCTCCACGCTGAACGGCAGGAGGGATGGGGAGACCTTGGGCTTGTCGCTTTCCTCCTCCCCGCCCATCGCCGCCGCGACGGGGAGCGCGCCACCGCCGGGACTGCTGAAGGCGGATGCGGGCAGCTCGTCGCTGCGGACCCCAGTGGGAGCGGCGGTCATATCCACAGCCGGGGCCATGCAGGGGCGACCCGCCGTCTCCACCGCAGCGCCGGGCGGGAGCGAGCAGCGCTGCCGCTCATGGGGCCGAGCCGTGAGGGGCGCGGGCAGCCGTCGGCGCGCTCCAGCCCCGCGGCGGCGGCTCCGACTGATAAAGTGGCGCGAGGGTGGCCCCGCCCAACCAGCGCGCGGGGCGGAACCGCGCCACCCCATTGGCTGCGACCCCACGGAGCGCGGGGCGGGGCGCGCGAGGCACTTCGACGGCGATCCGGGCCCCGCCGCTCTCCCCGGACACCCTCCTCTCGCCCCGGGCCCGCTTTGCTCTCCCCGGACACCCTCCGCTCGCTCCGGACCCCCTCCGCTCGCCCCGGACCCCCTCGCTCCGGACCCGCTCCGCTCTCCCTGGTCCCGCTCTCCCCGGTCCCGTTCCGCTCTCCCCGGTCCCGCTCGCTCCGGACCCGCTCCGCTTTC